GAAACAGAATGTATGTATATATAAAAGCCTAACTAGAAAGTTTTGTTTTATTTTAATTTTACAAACTAACGTTTTGACCAAAAATCTTTCAGAGCCAGTAATCTAAGCTAAGCTTAGTGTAAGGCTGAATTTGACAAGGCTTAATGGTTAATGGTGTAGAAAAGGTTAAACTTTTTAGCGTATTTATAAATTGTAGCATAATTTTTATTTTATATTTTAATAATTTCTTTCTTTTTTTCCTTCTTTAATTTATTTTTGTTTTGACTTACGAGTATATCAAATTTATTTCTATTATTTTTAGTGAAGGGTAATAACTTTATTAGTAACGAAAATAATAGTAAATTTATCTGCAATGGGGAAACGATTGCATACAACTTGCATTGTAACGTTGAGGTCATAGTGCAAAAATTTATGAGCATTTGATTTTTTGAAGTATACTATATATATGCATTGTTTAATTCATTTTTAATAATAGTATACATATCATTTTCGATTACATTTTTTTATATATTAGAAAAGTTTTTTTTTTGACAATGTAAAAAACTTGATTTACATTGTGCCAAAAATATTAACAATGATGTGATTTATTGTATTTTCTATATTTAAAATGTGTAAAGAAAAATTATACAATTATACTTTCACTAAATGGGTAAACTGTCAATTTGATAATAACAAAAACCATGAAACATTAAGAAATATCACAATATAACATTGAAATCTACTCATCTTAGGTGTGATATATATAAAGCGTTCCTTGGAAAAGAATAAAGGTTCTAAAGAACACCAACTGAAAATAAACATTTGATATATAATTGAATGGAATTATCTTAAATTGGTTTTGGAAATGTAACATAATTAAACCTATAAGAAACTAAAAAGTTTTCAGATAGAGGAAAATGTAAAATTTATCTAACAAGAAATAGTAGAATGAAAGAGAAAAGTTAGAAAAAAGAAAAAAAAACTAATTAATCATAAAAAATTCTTTGTATTCTTAACTAAAGCAAGTAAAGTAAATAATACAACTGTGGCATTGCATATAAATAACTCTAATAAAATAATTCCGTTTCAAATACGAAGTCCAATTACACTAGAACACTTTAGTCAATTTAACACATACGAAATTATTAAAATAAGCAAAAGCCAGAGTGGTAGCTAATCACACCAAAAAGATTGAAAGAGATTAATTAAATGACGAACACTTGCTTTGAGCATCAGTCAAATAATAAGCAAAGAGAAAGAAAATAAAAATTTTAGTAACGATTTCAGAATAAATTTCCCGTTAGGTTAGACAATTTTTGAAGGGAACTCTTGTTCAAAGACTTAAAATTAAAAAAAAATTATTAAGTTAAAAATTAACTAAAAATCTAAGAGAGGAGAAACGATTAAAAAACCTACTAACATAGACAGCCGAAAAAAAAGTCAAAACAAAATTAAATAAACAAATAGCAAAAAATAGGGAAACAAAGTGTGGCCAAAACATGAAAAGTACAAGATTTGCTTGTGTATTTAAAAAAAAACTTGAATATAAGAAAAAAAATATCATTGGGAAGGAAAAAAAATTTGAACCCTCCACCACGAAAGATGCTTAGAGTAGATGCGCTTAAATTGCTGATCGCGACATGTCGTCGACGAGCTGCCAAGCATGGCTTTGGCTTTCCGCAGTAGAAGCATCTTAAGATTTGGTTGCAGTTCAAGTAGAAACAACACCAACAACAATAACAATAACGGCAACAGCAACAGCAACAAAGATCGTGTCTGGTACAATCAAAGTCAAAGCAGCGCTAATGTAGCACACAAAATAGTGAACCAAAAATAAGAAGAAGAGACAAGGGAGATATAAGGAAAGACCGATTGGAGCGCATATGGATGCTACTATAGAGTTGGGTAACGATTGATCGGCAACAGTTTATGGACTCATGAAAGCAATTCAAATGCAATTGCCAGGTTTTTTGCTTCTTATTCTCGTTTTCATTTTTTTGTTGAATTATCTTTTGTTTTTTGTCTTATTTTTAATGCTTTTTATTTAAACATAGCTCTCATTAGTTTTCTCCCTTTTCTCTTATTATAGCCATTTTTTATATTATTGAGCAGATATTAAATATATCTGAGCCAAGCTTGAACTTCATGCTGCTTTGCTTTTTTTTTAATTTTTCTTCTTTTTATTTTTCTTTCTTTCTTTCTTATTTTATTACGGCTTAAAACTTTCAGGATAATCTTTCGCGCTTGTAAAGAGCCAACTTAAACGAGTGTTGCATTAATGCGCGCATAAAGTGGTATCTGAACGCCAATAAACGTCAACATGCTTTCAATACTCCGCGGATGGATTATCAGCACGGACAAAGAAGTCCATAGAAAGACAAACAAATAGACAGATAGACTGACAGTTGGACAGACACACAACGCTGTTTAACATTGTTTACATTTGTTAGTTACTCTTTTGGTTTTAATGTGTGTGTTGTGTGGAATTTGGCGGTTCTAAACAGGTCTTTACTATCTAGTACTTTAAATAATATGAAAATATAGTAAATATAGTAAAGTAACAATACAGATCTACAAACTTAAAAAAATTTGAGACTGAGACTGATGTGACGTCATTAAAATATTTTATTTGTGAATGATTTCCATATTTATGCAATTACACATATTAATAAAAACTTATACCATATAAAATATATGAATTATTTAAACGTAATCTATTAGCTGGAAGAGGCAGTAAAGTATCCTTATTAACTTATTAACTATTATTAACTCAATAATATCCTTAATTTGTTGTCCAATTGCAATATTAAAACTGAAACACTGCTCTATAACAATCTAAAAACATACATGCTTCAGGAAGTTATAAAAAAAAATTGATAAGGTTTGATATTGTTTGACATATTTTTCTTCTACCTCACACCAAAAAGCAAAAAACATCAAACACTCGGTGGCAACCAAAGTTACCAAAGGGTATTAAGAAGATAAGTGTTCCCAAATACACAGTATTGAGATTTCAAAAAGCGATAATTGCACAACTGTTCACACCTTATCGCAATTAGCGAACGAGCAAACAAATCAAAAAGAAATAAAAAAAACAACGAAAAGCAATACCAAATATCACAAATAAATAAAAGTAGGAAATTAATTATTCAATAAATAATTCTTAAATGACTAAAAATTAAAGAATACATAAAAAATTTGAATATAGAAAAATGATTTATTAAAAAATTAAACCCAACTCCATGAAGTGCATATTAATACCACATAGTCTGTTTGTTGTTATCAATATTTGCACATATGGTTGCCATATTGAAATACAGTCAAACTTCCATAACTCGAAGTACCATTTTGCAAAGAAAAGGTTCGACGTTTGGAGATTTCGAGTTAAAGAATTTTTTTGAAATTGTATGCAATTTGCTATCTAAACACTGTTGCGCTCTGTTTAGTTCGAGTTATAGAAAATTCGAGTTATAGAAGTTTGAGTAGTAGACAATTCTACACTTTTCTTAAATTATTTTGAATTTATATAAGGAAATCAATCAATTGCAAAACGAGTTGATAATTAATTTCGGTAATATATTAATTAAGATAACAAACCGCAATATTTGTTTTTAATGCAGATGAATTTCACTCAGTATTGTGATTTCAAATTTTGCTGTTACCTCCAATATGTTGATTTAATATAGAATTTAATATGTTTTAATTAATTTTGGAATAGATTATGAGGAAAAATATTAAACAATTATTTGTATTATAAATAATTAATCACATTTTTGTCCTATTATTCACTATGTTTAAGTTCAACTTCTATTTCATATAATACTTTTTCTAATGTGACAACGTATCAATCATGATTTCAAACTTTTTACTGTTTACATATCACATATATTGAACGTGAGTCAACGATTTTTACAAAAATAAACTTAAGTGTTTACACTTATGGTACTTAATGAATAGCAAAACAAAAGGAAACACAAACAGCAATGTGGGATTGTTTTTCAGTGTAATTCGCCTCCATATTGTATTATAGTTAAATTTCATTTAATATTTATAAATAAATCAATCCAATTTCGCAATTAATTGCTACACAATTATCGCGGTTGATATGAAAATGTGTTAAGTGCAATTGTGTAAACATAATATAAAAGAGCAGAAAA